TTTTGTGTTTTGCGCTTATCATGCTAAAACACTAAGGTAACGTGGTAAACATACCTGCTAAACATGAACATGTTAGCATTGTTATGTTGAGCAGGTTGGTGTTAAAAATACAAAACTAAGACTTCCTTCAGACTAAGTTTACATGTTCTCCCCCTCTGTGGGTTCCCCTCACAGTCCTGTTTGCACTGTCAGCATGCTAGCATGTCGGTGTCAGCATTAGCAGTGCCTCAGTAAGCTTGACTGAAGGCTTTGAATGTTGTTCAGAAATAGAAAGTAACACCTCAGAGACTCGGTCTGCATGTTCTCACCTCAGAGTCTATGGTTTCCCTTTCTGTGTGGGGTTCCCCTCACTGGCCCAGATTAACTGGCCCCAGAAGCTAATGTGTTAGTTTTTTCATTAACGGAATCAAGTCATTTTGAAACAGAAACCACATTTTAGTCAATAAGTAGAGCCTGCAGTCACTTTCTGGCAAATAGAATAGGCCTACTGCATTTTAAGTGTTGTTTTGGCCATTTAAAGTCATTTTAAGAGGTAAAAAGTACTAGGTTATAACATGTCAAATATAACACCCATGAATACAATCAACTAATAACCTTTCAATCAATAAGTAGATAAATAGTTGCTCTGCTGTCCAGTCTTTCTGGCCAAGTAAAATCTGATTTCAGGTCTGTTAACACCTTACACAGTAAAAACAGGGACATTTCCGGAGACAACTCCAGGCAGGGACAGGCCACCAAAGCCGGGGACTGTCCCCCGGAAAACGGGGATGTTTGGTCACTCTGCATTAGTAGCCTAATTAGTTTGTGATGATGGGATTACTCACAGATATATTTAGTGAAATGCAACATTTGAGCACAAAATAAACTAAAATAGTGAAGTCCCTAAAACTAGATTTAAAATAAATAAATAATGTTTTCTTAAAATTACCACAGTCATGTTGTAAAACACTTAATGTCATGACCCCCTGGGCACATCATAAAGCATCACTCACATTTATCTCACATTGACCCAGTACCCGATAAACCAGAGGCCGTACAGTGAGTAACATTATTTACATGACTGTGTTTGGAGATGGTACTCATAGGAATCCCATTACAACGCCTAATGGATTTCCAGAGAGTTTCCAGAGTCTGGTACAGACAGTTTTATTTTGTCTGGGACTGCTTCCAATAGGCTTGTAGTTGAAACTTGATCCAGCTCACTGGGTAGGTTCACGGATTTGAAGCGTTTGAAACGATCAAATAGCGACATCTGCTGGCCAAACATTGACACTGCTCTGAAAGAGTTAAGTAAAAACATGCAAGCTGCTGAAATCATCCTTTTTGGTTCAGTCAAGGCTCTAATGCTGATATAAGCTTAAATAAAGAGAGAAAAGAACAAGATAAAAAAGCAGCAAAGAAAAAAATATTCATAAGCAACTCTTCTTCTGTGAAATGTACATTGTGACGCCCCTCCCACTGTTTGGAGGTTGTCCTGCCACCCTCAGCAGACAGTTGGCTGAATTGGGAGGGTTGTCAGCTGATTGCTCTCAGCTGGACCCATGGGCTATAAAAGCTGGTCTGTGTATTCAGAGCAGCTTCTAGCAGGTTACATCCACGCTGTGGCATCTTCTTTTGCACTTGTGTTTATTTTAGTTTAATAAACCTGTTTTAACTACACTACAAGTACACTGCGTGGACTCCCTCTTTGTCACATTCCCTGAGCCAGTTTGTGATAATATGTGCATAAATTATCGTTAAATCATCAACATCTAGTAAAGGGTTGCAGCCTAAAATGCAAACAAAACACAGTATTAAGAAAAAAAAAGAAACAGCCGCCTTTCTCCAGCAGGATCAGGGCTGAATTATCTTCAGCAAATCTAATATTTACCTCAACACTTCCTTCCTTTTTGAAATTATTAGTATTGTGTATACCAGGGGTTTTCAAAGTGTGAGGCATCCCAAGGGGGGCTCCAAGCGGTTTCAGGGGAGGCTCAATGAATGGAAGTGAAACATTACATTACTTATTGCGTTAATTATCAAAAGGAGATCACATAGAATAGCCTACGTGTGAGAGTTCAGAGATACAGTAGTTTTTGGGAACCGTTTCCCCCATCAGAGTCAGAAACTAATAAATGACTTAGGACAGACCTTTTTTAAAACTATTTGGTGCAGTCAGAAGATATGTAAAACAGCAATGTTATAATCCCATAGGTAAGTAAACTAAAGATGTGATGGGGGGGGGGGGGTATACTGGTGTATACTATCCCCTTCCCACATAAAATAATTATTAAATAAGTATTTGAACACCCTGCTATTTTGCAAGTTCTCCCACTTAGAAATCATGGAGGGGTCTGAAATTGTCATCGTAGGTGCATGTCCACTGTGAGAGACATAATCTAAAAAAAAAATCCAGAAATCATAATGTATGATTTTTTAACTATTTATTTGTATGATACAGCTGCAAATAAGTATTTGAACACCTGTCTATCAGCTAGAATTCTGACTCTCAAAGACCTGTTAGTCTGCCTTCAAAATGTCCACCTCCACTCCATTTATTATCCTAAATTAGATGCACCTGTTTGAGGTCGTTAGCTGCATAAAGACACCTGTCCACCCCATACAATCAGTAAGAATCCAACTACTAACATGGCCAAGACCAAAGAGCTGTCCAAAGACACTAGAGACAAAATTGTACACCTCCACAAGGCTGGAAAGGGCTACGGGGAAATTGCCAAGCAGCTTGGTGAAAAAAGGTCCACTGTTGGAGCAATCATTAGAAAATGGAAGAAGCTAAACATGACTGTCAATCTCCCTCGGACTGGGGCTCCATGCAAGATCTCACCTTGTGGGGTCTCAATGATCCTAAGAAAGCTGAGAAATCAGCCCAGAACTACACGGGAGGAGCTGGTCAATGACCTGAAGAGAGCTGGGACCACCGTTTCCAAGGTTACTGTTGGTAATACACTAAGACGTCATGGTTTGAAATCACGCATGGCACGGAAGGTTCCCCTGCTTAAACCAGCACATGTCAAGGCCCGTCTTCAGTTTGCCAATGACCATTTGGATGATCCAGAGGAGTCATGGGAGAAAGTCATGTGGTCAGATGAGACCAAAATAGAACTTTTTGGTCATAATTCCACTAACCGTGTTTGGAGGAAGAAGAATGATGAGTACCATCCCAAGAACACCATCCCTACTGTGAAGCATGGGGGTGGTAGCATCATGCTTTGGGGGTGTTTTTCTGCACATGGGACAGGGCGACTGCACTGTATTAAGGAGAGGATGGCCGGGGCCATGGATTGCGAGATTTTGGGGAACAACCTCCTTCCCTCAGTTAGAGCATTGAAGATGGGTCGAGGCCGGGTCTTCCAACATGACAATGACCCGAAGCAGCCAGGATAACCAAGGAGTGGCTCTGTAAGAAACATATCAAGGTTCTGGCGTGGCCTAGCCAGTCTCCAGACCTAAACCCAATAGAGAATCTTTGGAAGGAGCTCAAACTCTGTGTTTCTCAGCGACAGCCCACAAACCTGACTGATCTAGAGAAGATCTGTGTGGAGGAGTGGGCCAAAATCCCTCCTGCGGTGTGTGCAAACCTGGTGAAAAACTACAGGAAACGTTTGACCTCTGTAATTGCAAACAAAGGCTACTGTACCAAATATTAACATTGACTTTCTCAGGTGTTCAAATACTTATTTGCAGCTGTATCATACAAATAAATAGTTAAAAAATCATACATTGATTTCTGTAATTTTTCTTTTAGATTATGTCTCTCACAGTGGACATGCACCTACGATGACAATTTCAGACCCCTCCATGATTTCTAAGTGGGAGAACTTGCAGAATAGCAGGGTGTTCAAATACTTATTTTCCTCACAGTATAGACCATTGTTCATAATTTAAAATGACAAGAAAAAAATAGCTAAAGAACAATAAATCTGATTTTCAGGTTTACAGTAATGTCCATTTCACGTTTTTCTAAGCTCATTTGAACACATCAAATTCTGCTGACTAGGATATTTCAGGGTTTTGTTGAGGTCAATGAATATTATTGGTTTCTTGATGACAGAGCTTCTTCATGTCTGGTTAACTGATGTAAACCTATGTCAGTGTGAAAGGCAACATGTCACATGGTGCAAAAACGCTACAAAAGAAACATTAGCACAAATAACTGCAGGGACGGAGAAGGGAGGCAGGAAGAGACGTTTTATTATATTTTTTATATATATATAATTATTCATTATTTTTCTGCTTCATTTATTTATTTGCTTTTTTCTTGTAGTTGTTTTTCCCTTTTCTTTTTCTCATTAATCCCTCCCCTCTTTTTCCCCCATCTAAATTCAAAGCATTTACTCTCCATACTTCCCAACTCAGTTTACCCCACACCACCTTCCATTTTCTACCTCTCACACACAAAAATAGTTGTGGACGCTGGAAGGGGCCCTGTACAGAATGCCTCTGTACAGGGTCCAGAATTTCGTGCTACCTCTGCAGAATAAACAGAAAAAGCAGTGACGATTTTAAATAAAAATAAGTATTTGTCTCCTGTTGCTTTGTGTGAGCTGATAACAGTAAAACAAAGCTATATTCCGCTCAGTAGTCTCTAGTGTATGTGTTTTCAGCAAAAAACATTTGAGCACAATATAAAATAAAATAGTAAAGTCCCTACAGTCATATTTTATCTGGGACTGCCTCCAATAGGTTTGTAGTGGAGACCTGGGTGATCCAGCTCACTAGGTTCACTGATTTGAAGCTTTTGAAACTATCAAATAGAGACATCTGCTGGCCAAACATTGACAATGCTCTGAAAGATACTCTCCATAGAAGATACACTTCTTGCATATGTGTTTTCAGGGAAATGCAACATTTGAGCACAATATAAAGGGAAATATTAAAGGTCTTTTAAACATGGAGTCTCAACATCCGGTAATAATACCTTAAAGCACATAAACATAACCAATTCATTACCACACAGTGAACCTGGGGACAGTCAAAACACATGCTTCTGAATGCCTGAATATTAGTGCGAATGGTTGTGAAGGTCCTCTTTATTATAGGAAGTATTTTCGATTGTGGTGTATTATAAAAATATATATAATTTTACCATCCTGATCACATGCACATATGATTTGTGTGTATTAATATTTGCAGCACAAAGTAGGAAATTATGTAAAATATAAATATGATCAACAAAGTTCAAATTATACACAATTCCCAAAATCTAAAACTGTGCTGAAATGGAGGCTGAAACCACCTTAAGCACCCAATGTCTCTGCCTCAGGTAGATGAGTTGCGAAAGTTTGATTCAATCTGTGGTGCATTGTGGTACTTGTAGTCCTGCACAGTGTCCACATCCACGCCCTGGATGGAAACAGGCTAGAGGGGTTAGAGATGTTTCCTGTCAACTGAAGAAGTCCACCGCGAACTGCTTCATCTTACCAGCTGCATGTGGTTCAGTCTACACCACTGAAAGAAAGAGTCCACTACCTCCCTGTACTACGCCTCCTTATCCTCACTGATGACGCCCAGCTCCACACAGCTGAGGCTGACACCACCGACACGCAAAGCCTTTTCTGCATAGAGTCTGGCTCCCTCCTGCTGATCCAGTGGGTCCACTTGTGGCTGGAGGTGATGCTGGTCTGAATCCCCAAACTGATGGAACAGATCCAAGAGAGGGACGTGTAGAACGCTCTCATCTCCGTTGACATCAAATACCAACGAGCTCTTGAGCAAGGCACCTAGACTGGAAGTAGCTTTTCTGGGGCAACGTTATACTTTGGCGGCTGGAGGGACAAGATCAGCCGTCTCCCAGAAAAGTCTGGTCAGATTTTCACAATGTGATCAGTTTCCTTCTGACTCACATTTAGTTTTTGAGGCTTGTGTTTAGTCACATATCCAGCGACGCCACCACAGACTCCCAGGACCAGTAAGACACCGAAAACCACAGCTGGGATCCAAACGCCCTGATGGGATCGACCACCTGATGTGAAAAAAGGCAAACAGAGACCAAAGTTTCAGTAACTGAAATACAACACATGAATCTGAGCATGACTCAGCACTAATTATGTTAATTATTTTTCTCTTCACAGAGTTGAATCGTCTCCTCACCTTTAACATCCGTCTCCTCCTTTGGATCTGGAGTTTGGACATTTGTGGGAAGCACTGGGGTCTCTGTTGTCCAGGTTTTAACAGAGTCTGGATCTGAAAGAAATCAGAAGATTTTAAATATTTTAAATTATATAAGAGTCTACGGTCATGTTAGCCGCTCTGTGAGGCTGAACTGTGGCATCATGGAGTCACATGATTAGTTATCATGTGACTTCCTGGTTATGTCACCCCAACACCACTCGAATTCTTCAAAATGCAAATTTACTTGGAAAATGAACGTGATGCAGTTTCTATGACAATATGGATTTTTACCTCGTTCTATTTAATTCAGTCTAACAGGGCGGTAAACTCGGGTCATACTGAAGATAAATTTGATTTTGAAATGCACTGGTGTTACAACAGGATGCATTTCTTCTTTAATAAAGACTTTATTTCCCTAAAGTTAATATTTCATTTCATTTATTAGGATCCACATTAGCTGTGGCCGAAGATGCAGCTATTCACACCAACAATAGTTCACTTTATTTTTACAACCCTGATCATGTGCACACGCCATGTCTACCACACCTTTAACTGGCTCAAGACTTTTTACAAGCAGCGTATTTTTAAAGTTCTAATAAATATGTGACTGAAGGAAATGACCATAATCAGGTTAAAGCATGTTTTATCAAATAAGTAAAATAAAAAGTTCTACATTAAAATCAAATCCAATACAAAAGCTAATGTGATCACACAGTTAAACAGCCAGATGTACAAATCAAACATCAGCTCTTGTCACATGATGCTGTTTATATGATGTAGGCTGTAAACATTAAATACTGTTTGTGAGAACGACTGTAAATCTGTATTTATAAAATGTTAAAATGTTTATCTCAGCAGCAGAGTTATTTAATCTAAAGAAACTTACCGACAACAATCCTAATAATCGTAGCCCTCCCCAGCTGTGGGATGACACATCTGTAGCTTCCTTGGTCGGAGAGCTTCACGTTGAGGATCTTGAGTGAAGCGTTTCCGTGTTTCAGCTCGTCTTTGAACAGCGTCGTCCTCCCAGCGTATGACGACATCTTCATGTCCTCTACATCGTGGTTGTCATGGTAACGGTGAACATACTTGTTCATGAATGGTAGATCTTCACGCCACCACTCCATGGTCAGATCCTCTACGTTGTGCCGAGGCACCACGCAACATGGCAGGATGATGTCATCACCCAGAGCGACCACGATTGGTTGAGATGAACCGATCAACTGAGACTGACCTAAGAAACGGAGGGAAAATATAAATCTTTTTTTTTTTTTTTATAAATAGGTCTTCTTTTATGATTAAACAGAAGCAAAGATATAATCTGAACTATTTTTACTTCCAAAACCTTTTGACAAACAATAACTATTTTCCATCAGCGTTGTCAATAAGGAAAATTATACATATGTGATTTAGAGCTGCAGCTAAGTTATTTTCTTGATTAGTTTTTGATTGAAAATGGTGAAAATGCAAATTATAATTTCCTGAAGGACATATTTTATATGACCAACAGCACCAAACCCAATATATTGTCAGTTTTATAAGAAAAAACAAACCACCAACAACAACTGAGAAGCTGGAACTAGTAAATATTTGGCTCATGTGCTTAAAACGAAGGTTACGATATGGTAACCCTATATCTATAAGCACAGGTGGAGCCCTCTACTGGACTCTATGGGTACTACCTCCTCCAATCACATGCACGCACTTGCCCACTGAAATTTTATCGTGCACGTAGCCGACCAATAGGACATCGCTACTGATACGTGCGTGACATGCGTGTCCCTACTGCCTCAGCAGCCGACCGCCTCTTCAGCAGACGGCGTCAGAGCAGCAGGGCTCAGCGGTAGAGGGCTCCACCCGTGGACTCGAATGGGGGCTGTGCGCTCTACGTAGGACGTTAGCCTAGCACACATGGACACAATAGATGCACTCTCACCTCCTTGCTCCCTAAGTGGGGTAGGGGAGTAGAAAGCATCCAGATTTATTGTCCTGGACCTGAACATGCTCCTTATGTTCTTAAGAAGAAAGGAGGTGTGTTGTCTCAATCTGGCTGCACTGTGGACACCAAGAACCAGCATGCAGCTGGGGTGAACTGACAGGCTCACAGCTCACTCACCTTCTTAGCAGAGGTGAGAGCAAGGCTGTTCATGAGATGGCAGGACTGCTCCAGGGGCTGTAAGGTGCAGATATTAGAGCCACCTACACAAGCAGCAAGTCCTACTGAGGCGCTGAGAGACGCAACACCGGTCGTTGTCTTCTCACAAGCTGCAGAAAGCGCATTGACGCCAGCATTGTGCATTTGAAGCCTCACCCTTGAGACAGAGACCCCAGACCATAGGTACAGGCCAGGGCTCTGTCACTGTCGGCTAATGACCGTTCCTGCCTCACCTAACTGGAGGGATGAGATGGGGTCGGGGGGGGAACGCTAACAACTTCAGAGCCTTGAAAGGTTCTACCGGGAGCTGAATTACCTCCGAGGTAGTCTCCTCTCCAAAACAAACGGACCCGGTCGATTGTGATTATTGTATTAATTATATGTTACCAAAATCAAAAGATGTTTTTAACAACATTGTGAAATAATATTTTTTGGACAATATTTCCATGTTTTGATTAATCTAAAGTTAATTTGTATCTGGAGAATGCTGCTCATCATGAAGTTGGATGTGTCAGTCACAAAGCAGCATGGTGTTGCAACTGACAAATTGTCAGTTTATGAAATAACTAATAGTTGTTGTAGTTTAACAACTTTGTCTTTTAATTTTTGAAATTTGTGTACATCAGTCCCCGCTCAGTGAAATTTTTCACGTGGGCTGGAAATGCAGGGGGATGACTTCATCTGTGAGTTATTGAATCATCACTAACCTTAAGTGGTTACAGCTCTGGTAGAAATTTGAATGAGTAGCCTCAATGAAAAACTACTATTAGTAGCTAAACATAGAAATGAGCTTACGTTCAACGGGCGTCCAGACTGCCGTACTCAAACGTACAGTGAAAAAGGTAAAGCCAAGCACGAAGTTCCTGACGTGAACCATAAGCACCTAGGTCTTCTTCATGTCCAGGTTTTAACGTCAGTCCCTGTAAATGTGCATAAAGTCGACACGGCTCAGCCGATCAGAGGGGTCGGGCTTGAGATCCGGCTTCGACCGCTCCGTTAGACCCTCCACATTATAAGCAGGATCCAGGTGGCAGGATGACTTCATCGCCTGGAGCAGCGATGATTGGCTGAAGTGAACTGATCACACAAGGCTGACCTGGAAAAAAAGAGAAATTTAAACCTTGGACAGACTCTTTGACTATTCTGAATATATCAGATCCATAATTCTTATTATTGTTAATGTTAGTTATTGTATCTTGATTCACTGTTTTTTGTATACAGTGTGTATATCATTTATACATCTACACGCTAACCAATTCTACTTTTATTGTATTTTTGTTCTTTACAATCTTCTGTGCTGCTGTCTCACACTGGAACCATAGTTTATTACTGACTTGTTATCAGGGAGAACATGCTTTAAGTTTGGCCATAAATCTGCACAACCTTGCTGTTGGGCATGCCGTCAAGACAGTGGCTAATAGTCAGCAATATATTAAAAAAAATATAAGGATCAGAATACGCTACCCCTGATATCTTAAAAAAAAAAAAAAAGGCATAATATAGTATTTCAACATTGAAACCAAAAGATTTAACATCCACTGATGCTCCACAGAAGGAAATAAAAGGGAAAATTGTCTCTCCCTCCAGTTACCCACAGAAAGAAATACCTGGGAAAAGAGGAATACTGACATTTAGGACATTGTTGAAGCCTGAAACCTTTGACAGCTCCAGTGACACAGCTGGAGCAGTTTGGATAAGGTTGTCAAAGAGTACAGCCCATAACGACTGAGATAAACACAGTGATAAGGAGAAAAAAAACAAACAAATCAGATCAAGCTGCACTTCCTCAAGATCGGCATAAAAGATAAGATGTTCCTTTCTTAATCATCATATGTCACTCCAGCCAGACAAGAAGGAAAGCAGTCTGAAGCATGCTGAGTCCAGCAAAGGACAGTCCAGAATTACCACTGGACTAAGTTCTGGCCACATGATGCAGGCCAGCAGCTGAACAGCAAGACCAGACCGAATCATGTAGGACTCTCCTAGTCCGCATGACCATCACCTTAGGACTACAGGGGTCTGAAGCGAGACGCAATGAGACCCTAAAGTTCTGAGTTTGATTAGTCCAGAAACTGCTGCTGGAGTAAGGAAGAGTTATATGTCACAACATGTCACATCATGGAAGACAGACGGCACAAAAGACCATGCTTAACATACAAAAGATCAACACAAAAACAACTGTCAAAAGAAAATGATTGGTGCTGTATCAAGCCATCCTGGTACGAAGAAACGGACAGTACAGAGGAAGGGGGCAAAGCAAAGGGCAAAAGTGGTCTTTGGAAAACAGATGTACAATTTCTAAAACAGACTGGCAAGAAAACAAAAACAAAATGGACTGAGCTGGAGGGGGCGGGACGGACCCTAGTGACAGGATCCAAAAACACCCTGGGTGAGTTATAACCTCTCACAGTAAAAATCTCAAACACATTGAAACTAAAATGAATACCATATTAAGATCTTAGTAAGTAATACCAAACTTGAACATCCCATGTTTGTAATGGGAAATTATCAGAGTAACTGTAATTAGGTCAAACCCTGCAGGTGACATCATTGCTAAATTACTACAAATTTAGATGTGTTCACCGAGGTGAGACTCATTCCAAGGTTCACACGGCTGGTCAGTCGGTGGGACTGCAAAGTAGGCAACAACACAGACTGCCACACGGCATACAAGCCTAGCAATGACATGCTATTACACCAAATCCGTGCCATCCCTGACCTGTACTGGTCCTGTGGGAGGGGCCGGCTGTACCAAACATTTGCTTTGGTGATGAGGTGCCACGTGTAGACAGACAGGCGCTTCATGCCGGAAGGATGGAGAGGTACATGCACGAGAGTAGTATTGGCATTGGATGGTCCTTATCATGCCATAGAAAGCCTCAGTCTCACAGGAAGAAATGCTCCAGCCCAGACTTTGCCCCTCCGGTGGGACATGCGATTGTCCGAAAGACTAACTGAATTCATTTTAAGGAATTAATCCACAAATAAAGACCAAACTCTTTATTATCAATTTCTTTCCAGTGACAGGACCATTAGATTGGTGAGTAATGCACACACACTTTGAAAAAGCTTTTATCTGATGGAACCAGGCAACAGTCTCAGACACAAAAGTAGTCCTGCAAAGAAACAGTCACACTTGTAGCTTTCGTAGATGTCCCCGTTTTATCCCACAAGTTAATCTAGGAGACATTATAGATCCCACGCTATAGGTCAGTTATGAATGTGATACATGATATTTGATAGCAGAGGTTCTCATCCAGGATGAGTACAAATATAAAATGTTTGATCCCCTGCTTATTCATAACTTCATAATGTCTATGTCCTGCAAAATTGGCTACGGTCAATTTTCTGTATTTGGATGTCCATATATGGCCAGAGGGAGGATTGTTATGGCAGAAAATTATGTCCTCTTATAATCAATCTTTTATGCATTTAATATTATCATCATTATTTTATATATATTTATTTTGTGTTTTTAATCCTTAACCTTTCCTCTCCTAAATGTCTTATGTTGGTCTGTCCACATTACTAGGGTTTAGGTCAGAGGTGTGAGATTGTTTTGGTGTTTTTCTACTCTTGTTGTTCCTCTCCTCGAGAGAGGATCTCTGTTCCCCAAAACACAGAAACCTGGACTGTGTAAATAATGATGCATCTCTTTGCTCGGGGCCAGACGTCCAGCTGATTTGTGTTGTAGTACTTCTGTTTATTCTCTTTTGTTAAATAAAGTCTTCAAAGACAACAGTTTGTTGTAACTCAATTATTTGCTCAACCCCTCACCAGGAATAACATTTCCACGACAGTCAGTCTCTCATTTGTTTATGCAAAGTAGCCTGCTCACTCGTCAATACTAAAAACAGAGCATACAGAACAAGGAGAAGAGGGAGCCGAAGAGTAAAATGTAAAAGTGACAGTACCGGTGAATACCGGCACACTTTAAGCACAAACGGTTTTATAATGTGAGAAATAACAGGAAGTCATCTCTCCCAGTAGTGTGTTCAAAACAATAAAAACAGCGCTGTGGATGAGAGGAGAGGTGACTGCTGGAAGTCAAGACGTCGTGTTTAAGTTTATGTTCGTTTGCTCCACAGTTTGATAATTGAGTATTAAAACACATTCGGAGAATTTCTGAAACGCTTTCCCCCCACTGTGATCATTTTGGCGCTGGTAATTTTCCTTGGCGCTTGGCTAAAAAGCCAAAAATTCTCTATGCAGGAAAAACCCTTAACAATCAGGACACAGTCTCTACTTAACTTATTTTTGTTAACTGATTATCGCTCGACATTTGACTCTGGTAGCGAAGCATATGAACTTACGTTCAATGGGTGTCCAGACAGCCGTACTCAAACATACAGCGAGAGTCCAGAGTGGGAAAAAAGGTAAAGCCAGGAATGGAGCTCCCGAAGTGAACCATAAAAACAGCCGACAGTGAAACAAACACAAAACTACCTCGTTAGATTGAGCTCGACTGGCGCTGAACTACTGCAGGAAGCGCTGTGCAACCCTTTTTAACTCCTCCCTCCGCTTGTAGCACGTGATGAGCACGTGCATGTTATTTTCCACGGAATATAGTCGGGTTTGTAGCGTCTTCTGTTATTATCGTCATGTGATGTTTGTTAAAGCTACAACTCTAAGAATGTAAGTAATGTACTTTATAATATCCTCTAGGCAAATGTCTTGTTATTATGGGTCTACCTCTGTCCTATTTTCTTTTGTAGACTTTTTCATTGGCCACTCCGAATAATAAATACTTTAAATTTTTTTAGGTTTTTCACAATAGTTGAGCGCAAACCACCAAGTCAAATCATAAATTTATATAGGCTAGACTTTGCTAGTCTAAGAGGGTGGTGTAAATATTTTAATGATTCATGTAGAGACTTGTGTTATGTGACGCTAAACGTAACAGTCAAAGCATCTCTCTGTTGTCTGTGCTGTTCATCTCGACAAGTTGTCACTGAGAGATGATGAGAGAGACAATACAAGCCTGTGTGGTGAGACTCAGGAAGTTAATGAAACATGATGACACAGAATATCTTTTCAGGTAAAAAATTAACAAAACTTTCACCAAGACTCTCCCAAACGCAAAGCTCTCTCCCCTTATATCTTAGTATCAACACAACAGCAAATTGTAATCACAGACAAATGGCAGTTACATCTGAAGTTTTAGCATACACTTCTTGGCTATTCCTGAGATGACTAAGACATGCAAAAGTATGTAGCAAAAGGTTGTTCCCATGGTCCCTGTAGAGTCATATTTGTCTGTGTTAAAATCTCACCTGCATGTCTGCAGAGTTTCTATTGTAAAACGTGACCCTTTGATCAATAATCAAATGTTAATCTTTGAAATTGTTACTGCTTGGCTCAAGGCTGGCAACAAAAAGGGAGGCCTCACACAGATTACAGAAACAAAATGGTTTATTTAACTCAAACTACAAACAACTAAGTGAGATATAACTAAGGTAGATATGATGAATATCAGACATGTCAGAAGTGTGTGGACGAGTGAGAATGAAGTGTAATGCATGTTGAGGGTGCAGCAAAGTAAACAAAGGAACAAAGGCTGGGGTTGAAGGAGCAGGCCAGCAGAGAGAGACGGACTCCCAGAAAGGCAGCCCTTTTATGCCCCAGATGGGCAGGTACAAGTATTGGACCCTCCCAGCTCCACCTACAAGCCACACCCAGCATCTGCAAAAAAGAGAAGACACAGGGCTGGCAGGCGGGCCATCACAAAATGTTAACAAAATTGCGACCAAAACGTATTTCCTAAAATTAAATACAGTAAGTACTTATAGTGTAAAATAATTTACAACATCAACAATTTTAAATGTATTTCTCACATTCTTTAATTTTTGCTTTAATCAATAAATAACAATTATAGATTACAGATTATTACCTGGATTAAGCAGAAACAAAAGTAGCTGTAACATAAACTCTTGGGCACATTGTCCAGTTACAACCAAATGTCAATGGCAGAAATTCACCTAGTTCACATCAACCTGCCTCGTATTTCCAGCTTTGGTGGCGCCGCAGCTCTTTATATATTCAAGAGTCTGACACACTTGATATTTTTGATCCCAAAGATCAACAGGAAGTTTTTTAGTGGTCTTTAAAAATCTGCCAGGTTGTGTGACAAACTTTTGACATTTAAGGTGTTAAAGAAGACGCATTTCCAGCAGGAAGCTGTGGCCTCTATATGATATAAATGTTGACATTACACTGTGTGATACAGCCCCTCAACCAGCCAGTGAGTCAGTCAGCAAGTGAAATCATGGCGCTAACAGCGCTGACTGATTTTATGTGTTTATTCTCTGATTTAGCTCTAAAACATTAACTGCATCCTGGTTTCTGAGCGATTTTAATGTTAGTACCCTCCAGTTAAAACCTTTCTGTTGTACATGCTAGTCTGTGTGCACTGTAATCCCAAACAGTTGTACTAGCTCATAACTAATGAGGTCATTACAGTCAAATGTCCTTATGCAGTTGACCAAACTATAAAGTATTGAGCTCTGTTGAGATTTATGCCACTTTAATTGAATAGGGCTCAAAATTTGATAGCTAATTTCTGTGGAACACTCAAAAAGTTTAGGAACCATACAGTTGTGTCATGACGTTATTGACGTCATGACGTTTGGTGGGTGGGTCTTATCTCTCCCTCAGGAAAGCTGAATCAGCCATCTTGAATTTGCCTTCATGCCGTGAAGTTTTCATGGAAGTTTTGGAAAGCCCCACAGTTTAATTTTTTTTATTTGTTTGCAATGCGCACTTTTATCCCCTCACGTCAAACCCCCACCTCAGTTTTTTCATCATCATTATTGGCCTGCCTTTTTTTCAGCGCTGTCTTATTATCAGCCCTGATTTGGTAAGTAACTCTAACGTTTTTTTATGTTTTTTTAATTGAATTTCGATAAATAGTCTTACATTTGGAACTGGGAATACATGTGTACAATGTGCACAGTGAATATTTGTTGTAAATAGTTTACAAATCCAAGTAATTGCAACTTTAGAAGTTGTTGAATCTGACTTACAACGGTGTAAAGTTATCAGCGGGTTTCCTGGAGAACTACATTTCCCATAATGCTGTTTTCCCGGGAGATGACGTGGATTGAACGACCATGAGTTTGAACTGTCTCGTGGAGTCAGAACCGTTCTTTATGTCTATGGTCTGAAAGCATAACGTTAACTTATCCCTGCTTCCCGGTTTCTGCCGGTCGTTGTTTTCGCTGTTCGCTGGTAATGCATGTGAGCAACGTTATACTTATTTCAATAAGTGTCCGCGTTACATAGTCAGATTTAAGTTCGAGCTGTGTGTTTGTGTGCAGCGTGAATCTAACAATGCTAAACAAATAATGTGAGTGTGTTATCATGATGCTAACAAGGTCTATGTGTGTATTTTTTTGTAGGCTCAAGTGTGTGGTTGTGAG